CAAGATAAGATAAAACTAGTGCCTGCAGGCCTTGCTTTGTGGAGTGTGGTGTCAAAAAAGCAGAGCATCTCTTTATTACGGACAGACCTCGCCCCATCTTTACAACCTTTGAATCTTTATGTTTTGACCATGACAGTTTACAATTTAAGGTAACACCAAGTAATTTATTGTCCTCTACTTGTTCAACAGCCACACCATTCATTACTTACGGAATGAAGACTACTGTTTATAGGAATGTTATTACACCTGTCATATTATACAGTACCAGTCAAAAGTTTGGACACACCTACTCATTCAAGGGTTTTTCTTTATTTTTACTATTTTCTACATTGTAGAATAATAGTGAAGACATCAAAACTATGAAATAACACATATGGAATCATGTAGTAACCAAAAAAGTGTTAAACAAATCAAAATATATTTTAGATTTTAGATTCTTCAAAGTAGCCACCCTTTGTTTTGATAACAGCTTTGCACACTCTTGGCATTCCCTCAACCAGCTTCACCTGGAATGCTTTTCCAACAGTCTTGAAGGAGTTCCCACATATGCTGAGCACTTGTTGGCTGCTTTTCCTTCACTCTGCGGTCCAACTCATCCCAAACCATCTCAATTGGGTTATGGTCAGGTGATTGTGGAGGCCAGGTCATCTGATGCAGCACTCCATCACTCTCCTTCTTGGTCAAATAGCCCTTACACAACCTGGAGATGTGTTGGGTCATTGTCCTGTTGAAAAAAAATTATAGTCCCACTAAGAGCAAACCAGATGGGATGGTGTATTGCTGCAGAATGCTGTGGTAGCCATGCTGGTTAAGTGTGCTTTGAATTCTAAATAAATCACTGACAGTCCTTTAGTTGTGGTTTCTTTGCAGCAATTCGACCATGAAGGCCTGATTCACACAGTCTCCTCTGAACAGTTGATGTTAAGATGTGTCTGTTACTTGAACTCCGTGAAGCAATTATTTGGGCTGCAATTTCTGTGGCTGGTAACTCAGAGGTAACTCTGGGTCTTCCTTTCATGTAGCGGTCCTCATGAGAGCCAGTTTCATCATGTTTTAAAGTAATGATGGACTATCGTTTCTCTTTGCTTATTTGCTTATAATGGTGGAACAAGCTCCCTCATGACGCCAGGACAGCGGAGTCACTCAACACCTTCCGGAGACACTTGAAACCCCACCTCTTTAAGGAATACCTGGGATAAGATAAAGTAATCCTTCTACCCCCCCTTATCCCACCCCCCAAATTAAAAATTAAAATTCATAATTGTAAAGTGGTTGTCCCACTGGCTATCATAAGGTGAATGCACCAATTTGTAAGTCGCTCTGGATAAGAGCGTCTGCTAAATGACGAAAATGTAAATGTAAATTTGAGCTGTTCTACCCATAATATGGACTTTGTCTTTTACCAAATAGGGCTATCTTTATTTTTACACTGCTGCTACTTGCTGTTTATTAAATATGCATAGTCACTTTACCCCTACCTACATGTACAAATTACCTCGACTAACCTGTACCCCCACACATTGTTGTTGTTATTATTATTATTATTATTTTGTTTTGTTTGTTTATTAAATCATTTCTTAACTCTATTTTCTTAAAATGACATTGTTGGTTAAGGGCTTGTAAGTAAGCATTTCACGTTAAGGTCTACACCTGTTGTATTCAGCATATGTGACAAATAAAATTTGATTTGATTTGATTACACCTGTCATATTATATATTGCATTGAATATTTGTGAGCATTGATCTAATGGCTATCTCTTTTGTCTACTCTAAAAGTTGACATCGACATCCCGTCCTTGACCAAGTTCTATAACCAGCACGACCATTGCTATGACACCTATAACCGTGATAAACACGACTGTGACGATGAGTTCCCGGAATGCCTGGAGACCATCTGTAGGAGATTACAGAAGATGTTGGGACTTGCCCAGAGTTTCCAAGGTAAAATGGCACCTGGGTTGTGTTCATTAGGGCATGCAACAGAAAACGTTTTACAACGGAATATGAAAATGAGTGTTTCTTATCAGAGAACTCCAGGTAGTTTGTCTGTTGAACACAACCCTGATTCATGTATTGACGTGCTCCCAGTGTTGAACACAGAGCAGGACTTTACTCAAGCATTCCTCACAGTTAATTCAATAATGTGTCCACCATCTTGTAGCCTGGTTAAATCATACTGAACTCTGCGCTCACAATTGTCAATTGTTTCACTTCACTGGTAAGTGCAGCATTCAGTCTGGTTTAACCAGGCTAACAATCTTGCTGGTGTGGAAGATCATACAACTCATCCATATTACTATGCGTACTACCTCTTCTATTACTTGTAATTTTTGATTAACTTATTATTGATATTGATGATTGATTATTGTACTGCAATGTTGAGGGAGCTAGCACAGAAGCATTTCGCTGCACCTTTTATACCTGCTGTAAACTGTGTACGTGACAAATAACATGATCTACTCAGGTTGATGATCTACCATGTCTCTCTTTATACAGCGTGTGAGAATACTACAACCCTGCTGTTTGAGGCTGTCATGTACATGGGGTGTAAACCCTACATGGACAGCCAGAGAGACTCCTGCAGTGCACATGCAAATTGATGTCAAGCGTGATCTATGAGCTGACATTTGACATTTATTGAGCTTGCCTCATTCACAGACATACGCAAACATGCATTTTGTTTTTACAGTATCCCTCTGCATAATGTCACACCCTGAAACATGTTTTATATTATACTGAACAAAAATATAAACGCAACATGTAAAGCATTGGTCCCATGTTTCATGAGCTGAAATAAAAGATCCCTGAAAGGTTCCATACACACAAAAAGCTTATTTCGCTCATCTTTTTTTGCATAAATTTGTTTACATCCCTGTTAGTGAGCAGATCCCCCTTTGCCAAGATAATCCATCCACTTGACAGGTGTGGCATATCAAGAAGCTGATTAAACAGCATGATCATTACACAGGTGCACCTTGTGCTGGAGACAATAAAAGGCCACTCTAAAATGTGCAGTTTTGTCACACAACACAATGTCACAGATGTCTCAAGTTTTGAAGGAGCGTGCAATTGGCATGTTGACTGCAGGAATGTCCACCAGAGCTTTTGCCAGATAATGTAATGTTCATTTCTCTACCATAAGCTGCCTCCAATGTTGTTTTAGAGAATTTGGCAGTATGTCCAACCAGCCTCACAACCGCAGACCACGTGTAACCACACCAGCCCAGGACCTCCACATCCGGCTTCTTCGCCTGCGGGATCGTCTGAGACCAGCCACCCAGACAGCTCAGAAAACTCTGTCTGATTGGCTGTGCCTGGCTCCCCAGTGGGTGGGCCTGTGCCCTCCCAGGCCCACCAATGGCTGCGCCCCTGCCCAGTCATGTGAAATCCATAGATTAGGCCCTAATGAATTTATTTCAATTGACTGATTTCCTTATATGAACTGTAACTCAGTAAAATTGTTGAAATTGTTGCGTTTATATTTTTGTTCAGTATATATTTGACTCTGTTATACGGTCCTCAATGGCTACAATGTGGTATTATACGGAAGTCGTAACGAGCAACGCGTGACTGACATGCCCAGTTGCCAATTGTATCCCGTTTATGTGGAGTTTAGCCAATCAGCTTAAACGGGCGGGAAGTTTCCTCATCCATCAGCGTTAGTAAAGGAGAAGCATTATTCACTTGCGTATACGTGTTCAAAGGAGTATAGACCGCAACCATGTCGTGTCCAGGGAATGAAGACACTAAAGGTAATAAAAAGTCATATTTTTAACTTATAGATAGATATACTATATGTATGTATGTAGTAGTAGTAGTAGTCTTGCGGTTTAATGTAAAGTTGTGGTCATCAATTCATATAAGACAAATATGAAAGAAATCTCAGAAGACAGTTCGGACCCTCCCTGGGAAAAGAAAGTGAACAAAATAATAATAAATCACATGCTGAATGATTTGTCGGGGATTTCACAATTTCCCCTCCATTTACCTCGCTTATCTTGAACTGTTCTAATAACTTTATAAGGTGTATGTCCGTATTATCTGTCTGTTTGTACTGCTGTTACAGTAGCCAAGGTTGTTGTTCACTGTCAGATGAATCGCGTTGCTAGACACTACGCAATAGCCTGGGGACTAGGTTACTGTCAGATAAGCACAGACCACAGACTTCAATTAACGTAACCTGATTTTATATCAGGTGTTAAGTCAATGTTATCAGTGAAAAGACTTGTTTCACCGTTCTGTCAAATCTTACTGTGTTGTCTCATATGTGATTTTGGTCACAGGGAGCGTTGAAAAAGACAGCAAAACAGCCCCGAGGACAGGTGAGTACATACGGGCAATATCAGGTTAGGTAGGTCTAGGTGCTCAATGCTTGTAGAGACAAATGCTAACGTACATTCAACACCAAAACAGAAAGACTGTTTGAGGTACTGTTATAACGAAACTACCTTATCTCATGAAATTGCCTTTTTTACGTAACTCAAAGTACACGCTAATTATGTAATGATTAACACAAACCTGCAGTTATTTTGTCCATTTGGCGTTTGCACTCAGCAATCACCTGAATCAAAACCAATTTACCCTCCTCTTGTGCTCACAAAAATAACCCTTAACACAAGGAACATAAGGAAATGGAACTCCAGACTTTCCCCTTTTCCCCCTGTCCTCAATTGGAAGAATAGTCCAAATCCTGCTTTCCCCCACACCTGCAACAGCAGGTCTACTGGTCTTAACACCTGTAACCAGCCTGTTGAAAACCACCAGGACTGGGTGTTTATTGAACAATGGCTGCTTAACCCCAGAGTTGTAGGCTAGGCTACTAATTCACAAACCTTTGGTTGCAGAGCTTAACAATAGACCCCTGAAAAATAAATCTGATCCCAAAAGCATTGGAGACTATTTGCATCGAACCTGCTGAGTTTTGAGATATCAGAAAGCTGTAAAACCACGAGAGGGCTTTGAGAAGTCATAAAAGAAAAATTCATGCAAGATTGTCATAGATGTTCAGATTGCATGTTCCTTTCTCGATCTCTTCATCAGGTCCTAGTGAGAACCTTACAGAAACAGATGGGTATTTCTGCAGGTAACTATTAGTAATAATATTACTTATTACGTTGTTATAAATGACTTGAATGTAATAAACATGTGGTTGAAATAAGTTCATGTATGTTGGCAGTTGAAGTGAACAGATAGTTCCTCATTTTTTGTGGTAACAGATAGGAAATCGACACTTTCTGTTAACAAATGTCTCTCATTCAGCTACACCCACTATAACAAGGTAATGGTATTTACAGTGGAGCATGGTTTTTTCTTTCAGCAGTTCTTTCTCTATGGACCCTGCGGAGGAGTATAAGATGGACCACAAGCGGCGAGGCATGGCTCTCATCTTCAACCAGGAGCGCTTCTTCTGGCGTCTGGGGATGCATGAACCGCAACGGGACCAATGCTGACCGCTACAACCTGGTCAAAAGGTATACATGGCATCAGATATGACCATGCTTTATAACTCCCTATAGACCGGTTCAGTCAACTGTAGTGCTGATGTAATTGTTTAAAAAGTTCATGCCTAAACATGTTTGACACTAGATTTTTCTGATTCAGATTTCAGGACTTGAACTTTGAAGTGCAGGCCTATGATAATCTGAAGGTGGAGGAAGTTCTGGATAAAATCAGTGAGGGTAAGCAGCACTTCAAGTCATTCGATACCACCTCAAATAATCAGCTTAACATTCATTCCACAGTGTATCAGTCACAGTCAGTATTATACTTCAGAATAATAAATCATACGTCTGATATTCTATAGCTGCTGAGGACAACCATGCAGATGCAGACTGCTTCGTGTGCGTCTTTCTGAGCCACGGAGAGAGCAACTACGTCTATGCTTACGACGACAAGATCTCCATCCAGGACATCACTGCCCTGTTCAAAGGAGACAAGTGTAAGAGCCTGGTGGGCAAGCCTAAGATCTTCATACTGCAGGTAAACAGTCAGATGATGCCTTTGAATAGAACCATTTTAGATGGAAACCTTTTACATTCAGTACTGTTGACTCATAGACCAATATCTGATGCGTGGGGGCCGGTGAAGGCAAATCTTCCTCAGACGCCATACTATTATTTTCCATTCTATTTGTAAAAATTTGATCCACATAACCAAAAATATATACTGCTAAATCAAAACAAATTCTATATAACACGACCATCATATTAATTGACGTTTTGACTGTTTTATGTTTCTGATTTGATTGACACCGACAGGCGTGCCGTGGGGAGAAACATGACGAACCAGTGACCCCCATGGACGTGGTGGACAGCGAAGTAAAGACCAACGAGGTGGTGGTGGACGCTGGGGTGGTCTACACCCTCCCTGCTGGCGCTGACTTCATCATGTGCTACTCTGTGGCTGAAGGTGAGGAAGACATGGCACAGCTGAGATAGTCCATTACCAAAAACCAAAATAAATACTATAAAAATTGTGGTTGTAAATGAGGATAGATGCATAGGCCAGTGATGCAGAGAGAATAAAGACATCAATTCATTATTTTAATTCCTTATCAACAGACTCCGTTACTATTTTGTACCCAACTCCTTCTTACTGTAACTTGTATACAGTTATGCTGTTTAGACAATATCCAAAATAACTGCTTCCTTGTGTTAGTGTTATGGCGTTTGATCACTTGATTATGTTTTGCTTCTCACTTGGATTAATGGAATTCAGATCTAACTGACATACACGTACCCTGTCTCCCTGTGTGTTTGTGCAGGTTACTATTCCCACCGCGAGACGATCAATGGCTCCTGGTACATCCAGGACCTGTGTGGGGCCGTCTGCAAGTTCGGGGATTCCCTGGAGTTCACGGAGCTCCTGACCCTGGTCAACAGGAAGGTGTCCATGAGGAGCGTCGGGAATTGTAACGACCGGACCGCCATCGGGAAGAAACAGGTCCCCTGCTTCGCTTCCATGCTCACCAAGAAGCTCTACTTCCGACCCAAGAAGCAGTAAGGGTTCCATCCACTGGGCAGCTACTACATCATTCCTGAATCTTGCTGTAGTTGTTTTTAATGTTTTTTGGGAGAACGGTGGTCCTGAATCTTGCTGTCGTTTTTGGGAGAAGGGTGGTCCTTGACTATAATGTCTGGTTGTTCTTTTTGTTAAACTTTTGTCTAGATTATTTAGATTTTTGTCTTGAGGACCATGAAATGCACAAAACAAGCTGGGCATTTTCCCTTTATTCTAATCTTCTTCCCTATGAAACCAAATGGAGGTCATATCATTTGCTGACGATTGTGTTTGCAGTGCTATTTTAACATACATTCTGTGGTGGCAAACCTGACCCTAAAACAAAGCACGTACTATACTGGGGAAACCTGCTTGGCTGATCGGCTTCAGGCTTTCCCTGTTGGTACCGACTGAGGTCATGGAATGTACCTGCAGGGCAGGTAAAAGAGTTGAGCATTAACATTTCAAATGACTTTATTCTCTGTCTGTCGATAGCTATTTGTTGAGAGGGGATTCTCAGTAAATGATTTTGCAACACCAGTGCCTTTAGGCCTTTCTCTTGAGAGAATACTGCTAATTCTTAACATTGAGTAATGGTTCCCTGGGCTTGATTTGTTTACCTCAACTATCTGTGTCAAATATACAAAGACATTTGCAAATTGTTTGAAGGAGGCAGTGGCTCTGGGGTTAAATCCCTACCTTGGATCCAAGAGGTTGTGGGTTTGATTCTCATCTCTTGTGCAAGTTTCTGCAACTGTCGTTGTCCAACATGGGAAGAAAAGTGCTGATTGTGTTAAGGAGCGGGTGGCTCTGGGGTTGAATGCCTTCCTTGCAACCAAGAGGATGTGGGTTCCTACCATATAAATACTTCTGCCCTACTAATCACTTCCTCAGTCCCAGAGCCATGTGATACCTTTGGCAGTGTTGCACAAGTTGATGATGGTTCTAACCTCATAACTTGATGGTTCAAATCTCACTTTAGCATGGCTACGTTTCCAAAACTGTCGATGTCAAATATATGAAGAGATATATCCTTGGCATGAAGAAGGCAGTGGCTCTGGGGTTGAATCCCTGTCTTGCAGCCGACAGGTTGTGGGTTCGATTCTCATCTCGTGCTTTCGTCAAAATTACTAAGAGAAGGGTTAATATTGTGAAGGAGTCTGTGGATCTCACCCAAAAAGCACAGGGTTGTAGGTTTGAACCTACTGCATGACTCTGAAGCATGGTTGTGTGGACAACAGGGACTCTGCTGCAGAGCGAGTCAAGGCCACTAGGAGTGGCTGCCACATCAAGATGGCTGGAGAATGGTGGCGTTGGTCCAAAGTGTGCATTAAGCTGGGGCTGTTAATCCTGGGGTCCCCTGCCATGGTTCCTCAGCAGTGGTTATGGGGAAAATCCCTGGAAAAAGTAGACAGTATCTCTCTTGAAATACAAATATTTTTTGAGGGATTTTCCCCCAGAACCACTGCTGGTCACAGGAATGGGAACCCCAAGTATTAACCCCATCAGTCCTCCAACCACTACAGCGTCAACGGAACCACACTTAAGTGACTGGGATCAAACCCACAATCTCACGGGCACAAGCCTTACAATCTGTGCCACCGATTGCTTCACACTTCAAACATCGACATTGGGGAAACGTACACTAAATCACAAGAGATGAGGATTGAACCCACAACCTCTTGGTTGCAAGGCTGGGATGTAACCCCAAATCCTTCACACTTGAAGTGCTTCTCTTTGTATGTTTGACATCAACAGTTACAGAGACTGTCAATCAAGCACAAGAGATATGGATTGAACCCACAACCTCAAGGCAGGTACCAAACCCCTTACCTACTGCCCCCCATCTGGTCCTCTTTAGTCGACAGGATGAACGTTGGACTTCCACAGCTGCGGGTCCTCCATTGCCGATGCAGTCTCCTGCTCCTGTCCTCAATGTTTCATTCCATTTAGAAAAAAACAGGTGGAAACTTTGCAAAAGATGAGTGAATCTGGGCCTAAAGCTAACGATGACGTACCTCATAATATGTTGCCTCTCCACTTAGACCTCTGAGTTTGCTCTGTCAAAAAGGGAATTTGTGTTGTTTCTATTTATGTACTTTGATGTGCTTAGCCTTTACAACTCAAATTTAGCTTTGCATGTTTTTAAAGTGGCACGCTAAATGTGAACAAACAACTCCAGTATGGAAAGTGCCTCAGGGAGTCAAGTGTCTAGACGTTAAGTAAACACTTCAAGTCTGGTCACATGATCCACTGTACTACTACTGACTCAGGAAGACCAAAGAAGTCATATACATTGTTTACTGCCACTATGGTAGTGCCATCATTTGGTAATTCAAATCAATGGCCTTTTAATTAACTATATATATATATAAAAAAAAAAAAAGCTTTTTACCATTTGTTCTTTTTTATTGAGGGTATTTGACAACTGTTTTCATCTTAAGATCACTTTATTGGTTAATTACACATTTCCCCCCCATTGGGCCCAGGATTGGAAACCCTCCGGTTGCTGGCTAACGGATCTAACCGTTAAGCTACCTGCTGCCCTCATTTTGTACAACTTTAACAGTACCAATCTTTTTTTTTTTTACACCACATGACTACAGGCATATTCTTCAGCCAGAAAATATGCTAATGTGTGCATTATATAGCTCAGATAAGACAACTCAGTGTACCAATCAACGATCTCATGTTTTTACAAATCTTTTATCATTGTTAGTGACTTGGAGATATTTACTAAAGCAATGACAATGCACGAGGTACTGCTTATTTGTATGTAAACCTGAGTGCTGGACACCAATTCATGTTTCTATTTCTGAGGTGTATAAGAAAACAGGGACCATTTTATTCACTGTGGGTAAGGTACTTTTCTTGTAATGTGGTCTACCAGGGAAATTTGGCTCTGAGCTTTTGGGAGATGGGGATTGCACTACGAGCATTTGGAGAGGTGCGGGGGGCTCCTATTGAATTAGAATCTCTCATTTATACAATTACAGTTGTAAAACTTGAAATATGTTTAGGGTTTTGATGATTGAAATTAAAGTCAATTGAGGTGCAATAAAATAATGAAATTGAATTTGTGAATTCCGTCTCAGTTCTCTTAATCTTTGTAAACATTAGGAATGGATAATCTCATTATATACACACACACGTCATTACTATTTCATATTCAGAACTTTGCTCTTCTATAAGAAATTACACTAGCTACTATATTGAATTACTGCAACGGCCATGATTGCAGAAAAAATATGATTAGTATTCAGGAAAATGCTTTCTCATATGATATTTCTTTCAATACTTATATTACTCCAAATGACTTCGGTATCACTTCCAAGACTGTAAACGGTGTAAACCAAAGCTCTAGAATGATCTGCAGGGTTAGTAAGAAAAAGCCACAATTGTCAAAATAAACGGGAAGAAATGGCACAGAAGTGCTGCTGCTCAGTAGTCCTTCAGTTTGACACGGTGTGTGTGTGTGTGTGGTTACTCCTCATGGCTTGCGCTGGATCTGTTCTACAGGGAGCTGAAGTTGGGTTGGATTCCTTAGACGTCTCAAATCTTCTTCCACCTAAGGATGACACACACACACACAATCAGCAGAAGCCCCTGTGTAGACTCAATACATCAGTGGAAAGTCCATTAAGCAGTGATCAGACATTCTGCAGTGCCTTGTAAGTATAGCAAAGTACCGAAGCCAACTCCTCTCTCAGATCATTGTACTTCTGCACGTTGAAGCGCTCCTTCTTGGCACCCTTGTGGAAGTAATACAGGAACTGCCTGTCTTTGGCGTCTGGATAGACATAATCCTACAGAGAACACAACCACCATGATCCATTTGAACACAACCACCATGATCCATCTGAACACAACCACCTTGATCCATCTGAACACAACCACCATGATCCATCTGAACACAACCACCATGATCCATCTGAACACAACCACCATGATCCATCTGAACACAACCACCTTGATCCATCTGAACACAACCACCATGATCCATCTAGTACATACTGACTTGTGTGTATCACTTCTGCTCATAATTATCGGGGTTTGAATTCTAACTTGAGATAACTGTGTGCAACTCGAACCTCTACGTAAATCATGCACCGATGTCATTAGGAGATTTGATCAAAAGACAGGTGATGCACCTAGAAGCGTGCCAGCCTTCTTGTTGTAGCATGGATGTATACAGTTCTTACTGTACTTTGATGATAGAATTTACAAAATAATATGGACGTAGGACACAGGTGCTGTGGGACGAACTGGAAGGTTTACTGGCCAGACTCTCTCGTGTCATCAAGACCTGGGGGGGGGGCTTCTTCTATACAGTGCATCCTATACACATTGCAGTACACATTGCAGCCACAAGAGGGCAGACATACGTGGACATTTCTCTGTTACACTTCTAAGTGCGTATCACCTGTGTTTTGATCACATCTACCATTGACATCAATGTAGAGGTTTGAGCTGCACACAGTTATCTAAAGTTAGAATTTAACCCCAATAAATCCTTCATACTGTACAGTGTATGGCAATGGAGGAGTAGGTCACATATGGGCACTTGACTACTCTAACAGCTCTAAGTTATTGTAAAGAGACCAGGCGTGACTGAAATGAAAATGAAAGCCTCTTGTTCAAGTGCCCTGTAGTGACAGTACTCTTTGTGTACACAAGGGGGAGACATTGCCTTGGCTACTTGTTTTGAGACAGTGTACTATACCTGCTTGTTGAGGACATAGCATGGTTAGGTTCCTGTACTATACCTGCTTGGTGAGGACATAGCATGGTTAGGTTCCTGTACTATACCTGCTTGGTGAGGACATAGCATGGTTAGGTTCCTGTACTATACCTGCTTGTTGAGGACATAGCATGGTTAGGTTCCTGTACTATACCTGCTTGGTGAGGACATAGCATGGTTAGGTTCCTGTACTATACCTGCTTGGTGAGGACTATACCTGCTTGGTGAGGACATAGCATGGTTAGATTCCTGTACTATACCTGCTTGGTGAGGACATAGCATGGTTAGATTCCTGTACTATACCTGCTTGGTGAGGACATAGCATGGTTAGATTCCTGTACTATACCTGCTTGGTGAGGACATAGCATGGTTAGATTCCTGTACTATACCTGCTTGGTGAGGACATAGCATGGTTAGATTCCTGTACTATACCTGCTTGTTGAGGACATAGCATGGTTAGATTCCTGTACTATACCTGCTTGGTGAGGACATAGCATGGTTAGATTCCTGTACTATACCTGCTTGGTGAGGACATAGCATGGTTAGATTCCTGTACTATACCTGCTTGGTGAGGACATAGTAGGCGAAGACTCCGATGCTGGTGCAGTAGGTGAGGAAGTAGGTGACGGGCTCCATGACGTCCCAGGAGTACACCCACCAGGTGAGCCAGGCCAAGGCCCCACCCTGCACAGACAGCAGGGCCACACCTGTCCACAGCGTCCTGGAGGAGTGGAACTCTGCACTGCGCGCTAGCTGTGCCTTCACCTGTATAGGGAATCGATGGGTGACAGAGGTTACTAGTGATAGCTAAAACAGGCTCTCGCACTCACGCAATCTTATCTTTGAAGGTTTACCGAGACAGCTTTATGGTTGTCGACCAAAGGGGTAGGTAATAGGAGTTACACAGAGACGAGAGAGATGAGACAAGATATGCAAGAGAGAGAAAGAGAGAGAGAGAGAGAAATAAAGAGCGAGAGAAGAGACAGACGGAATGAAAGAGAAAGAACAAGAGAGACACTGAGTCAGAAGTGCTCCCCTCCCTCCCCTCCAGTACCTCTTCCAGAGGTGAGAGGTCCTGTTTGAGTCCATCCAGTCTCTCCATCAGCCGTCTCTCCTTCAGCAGGAGGTGGTCAGGCAGGTGGAGGGCCATGTGGAGCAGCTGCACCATGTGCTTCATGTCCTCCACGTCCGCCACATGCTCACTGGACACACTGGACGCCTCTGGACACACAGAGCATGGGTGGAATTCATTACAATACAGGCACTTTGGGAACTCATGTCAAAATGATTACACTTTGGGAACATGCATCACTATTCCACCAATTCCACCTCAGACTGAAGGTTGATGATGAGGAGGAGGATCATGCTGATACTCAAATGACTAATGATGTTTCTTTTTAGAATGACTGATAAAGATCAATTGATATCATCATCATCATGGTCCTCTGTAGCTCAGTTGGTAGAGCATGGTGCTTGCTACCCCAGGATAGTGGGTTTGATTCCCGGGACCGCCCATACTTAAAATGTATACACGCATGACTAAGTCACTCTGGATAAAAGCAGCTGCTAAATGGCATATATTATTATATCATCATAATCTCTTAAAGTGTTTAAACTTCCTTTGCTTTGGGAAAGAGTTGCTTTACCTCTTTCAGGGGAGTGAACGTTGTATACAGCATCATTGATGAGGAGCTGGAAGTCTTTGTCCAGGAGAGTGTCCATAGAGGTGGTGTTAGCTACCCGCGTTCCATCTGAGGACAGGAGGATAACAGATGGATAGTCTCTACAGAGGTGGTGTCTATAGAGGTGGTGTCTACAGAGGTGGTGTCTATAGAGGCGGTGTCTACAGAAGCGATGTCATCAGAGGCGGTGTCTACAGAGGCGGTGTCTATAGAGGTGGTGTCTACAGAGGCGGTGTCTACAGAGGCGGTGTCTACAGAGGCGGTGTCTACAGAGGCGGTGTCTACAGAGGCGGTGTCTACAGAGGTGATGTCTACAGAGGCGGTGTCTACAGAGGCTCTGTTAGCTACCCGCGCCCCATCTGTACGAGACAGGAGGATAACAGATGGTTATAGTGTGTGCGCACACACACACACACACACAGCACCATATTCATAAAGTATCTAGGATCAGATAGTGCTGATCTAGGATCAGTTCTGCCCTGTCCATTAAAATCATATTTGTTATTATCTAAAAGGCTAAACTGATCCTAGATAGGCACTCCTACTCTAAAATGCTTTATGAATACGGGCCAGTGTGTACATTTGTGTGTGTCTACAAGTGTGTGTGTACGCCCTACCCTTGGTGAGCACGGAGGCAGAGGTGACTCCCGGGTCTTCTCTCTGTAGGTCATGGATGAGGTCTCCTACAGTCATCAACATGGGCCTGAGGAAGAACAGACAGCGCTCCTGCCTGGAGGGTAGCGGCAAAGCCAGCACCGGACGTCCATGTTTATACTGCAACCACACATCTAGACCGCAGACAGAGAAAAACACCAGGTCAAATGGGCAGTTAATGGCCTTGTGTTTAGAATGCAGTGCAGCTCATTCTCACCGTTTTACATAACTGAGCTCATTGCATGCAATAATATATGGATTGTCGCAGGTCTCTGTGTTTATTATTAATAGTGATATGAACAGTCTACCAAAGATTACAATTCTAAAGCCATTCATCAAAGGCTGGCACTTTAGAATAAAGAAATACACTGTGTGTAAAGTCAAGGCAGCCAGAGTAATGCATTAGTTCTAGAAAGGTGTACTGTAATGACAGTATCGTACCACTAGAGGGTGCTAGGGTACTGCAGAAGACCACTTGGGGAGGACATATCCACTGTGGCTGTCTGGGATGGATCTGAAATGAGAGAGAGAACACATTACAGAAGGTATTTATTTTACCTTTATTTTAACAGGGAGTCCCATTCAGGCCAAGGTCTCCTTCACAAGGAAGCCCTGCATTCACAATTTACAAAACACAAATATATAAAAATGACAAATACTGTACAAATACTGTACATTCTTCATACCATCTCTTTGTTTTCCCAGGGCGGCGTCTCGAGACAACGTTTACTCGATTATAAAAAAAAATTATGCAGCCAGTCATTACAAAAGTCCTTTTACTGAGATACTGTGTGATATAAACATTGATATATATATATATATATATATATATATGGACATATTTCCAGAATCTCATTTCCAAGATACTGTATCATTACATTACCTTAAATAGCCTATCTTGCTGCATCACCCCCACAACAACCACAGATATAGCCTACAGCCAACTGATTTTTTCGCTGACTACACCATGTCAAACTTTCTGCTGACGCAACATTTCTCCATTTGTATTCAATACCTTCTTGGCTTGGATGGAAGATGGAAAACTGTTCCGTGTTAATATGCACAATCATATCCCTCTCACCATCACTATCCAATCTCACTGAGGGTAATGGTAAAAGGCTGGCTCTCACCAATCTCCACATGACACAAAGCCACAGAGACTTAGCCTGGCTAAACCAGACTGAAGGGTGATTGTCAATGGTGAGCGCAGCGTTCAGTCTGGTCAACCAGGCTAAGGATCATAGACACTGATGCTTTTACTTGAATACCTGAAAATAGACACAGAATGGTGCTGAAAGCCTCAAGGTTTTCCATTTCCATATCAATGCCCCTATTACGGATTCATCCGATTCATCCCCTACTAATCTGTTGCTGAGTAGTACAATGATTTGGCATATTAAGTTTAATGGTTGGGAATATGTCGCTGGCACTGGACCTGGAAGCAATGAAAGAAGCTGTAAGATAAGGACGTAGAGTAATAGCTGTAAAAATGTGTGTGTGTGTATAATTGAAGCACTTGTATACATGTGTGTGAATGTGTGTGTGTGTGTGTGTGAGTGAGTGTGTGTAAAGTGATTCTGTATAGTGCTACAATTATACCAACACAACTCCCAAGAGGTATTGTGATGCCTTATACATGCATTCACCCACAGACAACTGCCACTCTTAAGCACATGTTCACACGCACAACCACAGTGGGTAAAGACATATGGTTGTGTTAAATGTGAGAGGTGAATCAGGGTTTAGGTCATAACTGTTGAATTAATGATGAATTACCTACCTCCACACCATTCAAATGGAAATGACTCCATCTGGTACAAAGAGGACTTGGAGGGTGATGCCCAGTGAACATGTAAACACTACCTTCTGGTCAGCAACAACAAGTTGGGCCCCTTGAATTGGAAGCCTATAAAGCATGTTACTGCAGTGAGTTACTTTAAAGTGATCAAATGCCAAAAACTATTCAAAATATAAAACATTCCTTTCTGACGGCATTAGAAGCCTAAAGTGTGACTTTAAAGTGATCAAATGTCAATATCTACTACACTAATGTACGGTCAGTATTAGGAGCTTAAAGAATGAGTGAAGAATGACTTAAGAGTGAAAAAATTGATTTTGTCAAAATTGATTCTGTCTCCTGTTGCATAACAGTAAAATGTAAAAGGAGTCTTGGTGGTTGAACGGATCTGTGAGTCTCTGTCTCAGCAGCAGTGACATCCAGGGACCTGACAACGTGTGTGTGCGCGCGTTCGTGTCTGACAGCCAATCCTCTTCGACCCTCCAGTCCATAGCTGTCAGCCAATCAATATCACATTAAAGAAGAGGAGTGCTGATGCCATCCATACACTGCTATAGCTATAGGTCCAAGACACTGCACAGAGGAAGGGACAGGGGATCCGCCAGAGGGAAGGGAGATCTGTAGACTTACGCACCAGTGGTTATGGTTAAGAGTGAGAAGGCAGGAAACACTGATGAGACGAGAGACATCCAGGCCTTGAGTGGGGCAGGCTCCAGCAATAAGCAGGGTAGGTTACTTTCTAAATGTAACCCGTTACAGTTACTAGGGCCGGGAAGATACCAATATCGCAATATTTTTTCCATGGCAAAAATGAAAACACGAAGGTCCTTTAAAAACCTGCTATATGTAATATATTGTGTGCTATAGCTTGGAAAATAAATAAATGTGACTCTGGATGACAACATTATGATGTTTGTTTCTAACATTAGGACCGTTTTCCTAAAGGAGTTAAATCCGCTTTGTGTTTTGTTTCCTTGCCGTGCGGACTTGGGAGAGGCGAAGGTCGAGAGCCATGCGTCCTCCAAAACACAACCCTGCCAAGCCGCACTGCCCGCTTAACCCGGAAGCCAGCCGCACCAATGTGTCGGAGGAAACACTGTACAACTTGCGACCGAAGTCAGCCTGCAGGCGCCCGGCCCGCCACAAGGAGTCGCTAGAGCCAAGCAAAGCCCCCCGGCCTAACCCTCCCCAAACCCGGACGACGCTGGGCCAATTGTTCGCCGCCCTATGGGACTCCCGGTCACGGCCGGTTGTGACACAGTCTGGGATCAAACCCGGGTCTGTAGTGATGCCTCTAGCACTGCGATGCAGTGCCTTAGACCGCTGCGCCGCTCGGGAGGCCCCCCTTGCCGTGATACTAACGAGTATCGTGATACTGGCATCATCCCGGCCCTACTAGTTAACTGTCCAAAATTCTAAATCAGTAACGTAATCCAATTCAATAATTGGATTCATAAATCAGTAAACAATGGTTTCAGTAGGAAAGCAACAGGAACTCTACTGGCTGTTAGTTCAAACTCATTATCTTGCATATAAGGATGGGTATGAGTAATACAGTACTTGAACGGAAGATCTAGTAAATTGAGACCCCGACTGAGTTCCAAAATTATAAAAGATATATATAAAAACGGTCCGCAGGCCTACAAAAGGGGTGGGCCTACAAAAGGGGCGGGCCTAGACTGAAAACACTAGAACCCCCTGAACATAGACAGGTTCCACAGTGAAAATACTAGAACCCCCGAACATAGACAGGTTCCACAGTGAAAACACTAGAACCCCCCTGAACATAGACAGGTTCCACAGTGAAAACACTAGAACCCCCCTGAACATAGACAGGTTCCACAGTGAAAACACTAGAACCCCCCTGAACATAGACAGGTTCCACAGTGAAAATACTAGAACCCCCCTGAACATAGACAGGTTCCACAGTGAAAATATGCAAAAACATTAGTTTGATAAAGACAAAGAGCATATTTTCATCAGAATCATTATTTTATTTGACCAGGTAATTTGACTGAGAACACTGACTTTGTTTGTGTGTGCGCACGTGACTGTGGTGTGTGTGTGCGCATTTGTCTGTTGTGTTTGTCTGTGTGTGTGTGTGTGTGTGTGTGTGTGTGTGTGTGTGTGCGCACGCGTATGTGCATGCCTTTGTCTGTTGTGTGTGTGTGTTTTATACATATGAAAAGTGCATGGATAAGGAGCCGAGCGTCAAACTCGGAGGCCGAAGCAATTTATCTCTGGGGTGACGATGCGCCGTGCGTGCATAGTGAGTAGTGGTTAGACCGCTGACGACAGCTAATTCAACACCTGGAAATATGTAAGCAGTCAGGTTTAATGCCATGTTGCACTGTTCCCATCATACAAAACATCTAATGGGAGATGACTGTCATGGTGGAACAGGAACACACTAAGTGCTATAGTATGAATACTGTAAAACAGTATTCCCTTCATATATCAATGGGGTGGCAGAACGTATCGCGGTCCTGTCAGTGCTATAGTATGAATACCGTAAAACAGTATTCCCTTCATATATCAATGGGGTGACAGAACGTATCGCGGTCCTGTCAGTGCTATAAAATGAATACCGTAATACAGTATTCCCTTCATATATCAATGGGGTGACAGAATGTATTGGCCTTCATTAAGAGCTATAGTATGAATAATCCAGTGCGTTTCCCACTTCCCAGCCAAGCACCTGGGGGTGGAATGTAGTCTGGTCCCAGATCAGTTTTTTCTGTATAGCACATATGCTTGTTAAGAAGAGAGAGGATATGGTCTGACAATGACCATAGTAGGAGTTGGTAAGGCAGCACAAACAGATCTGAGACCAGGTTAGATTGAATGCCCATGTCAATATACTGTCCAATACATTTCAATTTTACACCTTGCACTTTCTCCTGAAGGAGGATGGATGGACCACGGTTAGAGGTCAAAGCAGAGTCGCAGTATAGACATTTATAACCTCAGCTATGATGAGGAGACTACACAAATCTAATACCTCAACAATGGCTGCACAACAAGATCATTTCTCTTCATGTCTGAAAATCAGGATCAGCAAATCAAGCCACAGGCTATCCTCGCCCACATCTAAACATGAGACACTCATTTAGCCCTCAGCGAGACACAGGCCGAGTCAAGTGCAATTCAAAACAAGAGGGACGACTCCATCAGCGGCGTTCAATTGGACGTGCACTCTTCCCCTCATCTCGCCGCCTATGAAATCAAAACACACAAATTGGCCCCCCCTCCCCTCTCTCCACTGCCTCCCTCATCCAATCAATATGCACGGTGTGTGAGGTAACTGCTGCAGCCACATCGCCCCCTGGCCCTCCGGTGACATTCACACATTTTGGGACTCCTTCAAGGAACAGAGGCTAGTAGCTACAGCTGATATTTCTCAATTTCTGTTCCTCCAGCTCTCATTTCTTATCTCCAAAATGTGATTTCCTTATCTCAAAACAGATTGCATGATGGGACAGAGGAACTATATTAATTTTGCAGGAGTGTGGTTGGTTCTCAGAGTCAGACACAGTACGCATCATGATAAATTGTCCTTTCCTCCTTCACTTGTATACGGTCAACCTGGAGTTCAAAGTGATATGCGCTGTTTCACCACTATCAGTTTGGATTCCAGGCTAGAAATACAGTTGGTTTGCAGAGGGTCAGTACAGCAGCAGCTTGGTGATACACTGTCCTTTCCTCCTTAGTAATGTG